CAGTTCATCCTGCTACCATTTCAGCCATATAAGCTCATATATGCTTACATGCTTGCTGAAGTTGGAAGAGTTTCTGACGCATTAAAGTAAGTAGATCTTTTTTTTTCTGTATGTATGCGCATGCACGTGCATATGTTTTCTTTGACATTCATCTACCCTCTATTATTTGATTTCAAGTTTTTCTTTGACATTCTTCTATCATCTAGTATTCGATTTCATGACTTTATCAACTGAATTTAGGTACTGTCAAGCGGTACTAAAATCTTTGAAAACTGGTCGAGCACCTGAAGTAGAATCATGGAGACAGTTGGTTTTATCTCTTGAAGAGAGGATTCGAACCCATCAACAGGTACTTTTTCTGACAGTGCTGATATTACGCCTTGCAATTACCAATTTCATCAACGATTTTTACTTTCACATGATTGTACTGAGTGGAGTCAATTTCAGGGTGGATATACTGCAAATTTAGCTCCAGCAAAATTAGTTGGGAAATTGCTTAACTTTTTTGATAGTACGGCACATCGTGTTGTGGGAGGGTTACCACCGCCAGTGCCCACACATGGAAACATTCAAGCTAATGAACTTCATGCCCCTAGAGTATCAAGTAGTCAATCGACAATGACCATGTCATCCTTAATACCTTCTGCTTCCATGGAACCCATAACTGAGTGGGCTGCTGATGGTACCAAAATGACATTGCAGAATAGAAGTGTTTCAGAGCCAGATTTTGGAAGAACTCCAAGACAGGTGCGTGCCACCAAATGAATAAATAGATATGTGGAGCTAACAGGTTGACATGCATAGACATACATAAACATACCATTGGAAGAAAATTTTGAGCTCTTACTGATTTATGGCACAATCAGGTTGATTCATCAAAGGAAGCAACCTCATCCAGTGCACAAGGCAAAGCACCTGTATCTCGGTTTGGCCGTTTTGGTTTTGGTTCACAGCTTTTGCAAAAGACTGTTGGGCTCTTAAGGCCTCGGTCAGATCGACAGGTAGGCCATCATCTTTTCATCTTTTATGACCTTTTCATGGTTGAAGAATTTATTGTCTCTCTTTATCATTTAATTTTTTTTTTTCATGTTGATATTATTGATGAAAGGCCAAGTTGGGTGAGACGAATAAATTCTACTATGATGAAAAACTAAAAAGATGGGTTGAGGAAGGTGCTGAACCCCCAGCTGAAGAAGCGGCCTTGCCACCACCACCTACAACTTCTGCCTTCCAGAACGGTTTGTCTGACTACAATCCAAAGCCTGCAACAAAAAGTGAGGGCTCTCCTACTAGTGGGAGCCCAAAGTTTAGCAGTTTAAGTCCAACCGAATATTCTTCAGGAATGCCACCTATTCCACGTAGCTCGAATCAATTCTCAGCTCGTGGTCGGATGGGTGTTCGAGCTAGGTAATTGATCACAAGTTGGCTCTTGTTTATTTTGCAACCTAGAAATATAGATGTGAAAGCCATTACAGATAAATTTCATCATTAGATACTCACTACCTATTGAGTGGATGATTTAAAAACTCAAGTCTAGCATGGTGGCTATGTTTACCCTGGTGGGCATTAGCTTTGGAAATTAAGAAAGTGAAAGGTTTTTCTTTTTTTGTTCTTGTATCAGCAGTCATATGAAAGAAAGAAAGCTGTCTTGATAAAACTATTCTAATTATGCTAATGACAGGTATGTTGACACCTTTAACAAAGGTCATGGAAACTCGGCAAACTTGTTCCAGTCACCTTCTGTACCATCTGTTAAACCTGCTGTTTCTGCCAATACAAAATTCTTTGTTCCAACCGCTGCAACTACAAGTGAACAGCCAATGGAGGCTATAGCAGAAAGTGCACAAGAAGAAATTGGAGCTAACGAGAACCCTTTGTCATCCACAGCGAATGATTTGTTCCAGACTCCCACATCATCATCGGTGGCTATGCAGAGATTTCCGAGCATGGATAATATTGCAAGTAAGAGGGTTGTGACAAGTGGAAATGGCCCTTCGGCTCATTCACGACGAACAGCTTCATGGAGTGGTGGAACCTTCAATACAGCATTAAGTTCAAATACAGCCGAGCCAAAATCTTTAGGAGAGGCATTGAGGATGCCTCCATTTATGCCTAGTGCACCAAATGGTAGCAGCAGCAGCTTTGGAGATGACCTTCATGAGGTGGAACTTTAAGCCAAGTTTA